GGAATCATTTCTTTCCGTTAGGTATTCATCGACTTGGGGCCCTCAAAGGCTTCCTGGTTTCTTTTCTGGGAGCTGAGGGGGGCCTCAATTGTGGTCTGCTGTGCAAGAGTAGACAGGGGGGCGACTTCGAAAACAAATGATGTGTGGGATGTCCATGTTGTTTCAAGTTGCCGTGCCTTGGCTGTGGGTTTTAAGATTTCTGGATACAGGCCATGGTCGGTTGGGATGCCTCTCGGGATCTTCGTGCAAAAATAAGCAGGTGGTGAGTTCGCTTTAAAATGAAGTTAGATTGTTCAACTCATGGGATCATGGGATCTCGATTTCTACGGTGGTTTCAGAGGCAGCCAGAAGGACGCGAAGACGATCCAAGAGACTGCCAAGACAGCGTCAGATAATTCAAGAATATTCCCGAAACATCTCTGCATGTGACTCCGAAGTCTTGATGGGGCTCGAGGAAGAGGGTAGGGACTAGGAGTCCCAACTTGAAAAAAAAGGAATCTCTAGAATTCAATTTTTTTCGATTTCCTCGGTCTTGGAGCGTTGGAAGCGGGAAATCGTGAGAAGGCGACAAAGTCTACAAAAACCAATGGGAATCACAGATTGTACCCTCTTCGGGCTCTCTCGCGACGGCTCTCGAAGCTCTCTTGGGCTGTTTTGGGGGCCTCGTCGGGTTTTTTTGGGGGACCTCTCAAGGGTCTGGGGTATGTTGGAGGCTTCTGGGGGGTCCCGGAGTCCTCTCGGAGGTCTCTGGAGGCCTCCTGCTCCCGCTCTTGGGCTCATCTTGGGCCTGTTCAGGGGTGCTCTGGAGCTGTCCTGGGCGCCTCTTCGGCAATATTGGGCCTTCTTGGCCCGTCTTGGAGCCGTCTTGGGAGCCGCTTGGCCGATCCTGGGACGATCTTGGGGGCCCCTTCGGCCGTGTTGGAGCAATGGAAGCATGAAATCGTGAAAAAGCGAGAACCCATGAACAAAATCCATGAAAATTAACGATTTGAGGTTCTCCGGGCGCTCTCGGGAGGCCTCTCGGAGCTCTCTTGAGGTCTCTTGGAGGCCTCCTGGGAGCCTGGAGAGCCGCCCGAAAGCTATCCTGGGTTGCTTGGGAGCGTCTTGGGCCGTTCTTTTACGTTCTGGGGGGCTTCTTGGGGTCGTGTTGGGCTGCTCTTTGGGGGGGCTGAAAGGGACCCTATTGGGCCTTATTGGGCTGCTCTTTTTGGACTGCTCTTCGGCAGTCTTGGGGCCGTATTGGCCCGTCTTGGAGCCGTCTTGGGGGCCTCTTGGGAAGTTTGGGGGCGGTCTTTGGGGCCTCTTCGGCCCTGTTGGAGCGTTGGAAGCATGAAATTGTGAGGAGGCCAAAAACACTGGAAGAGCAATGACAATTAACGATTTGAAGTTCTCCGGGCGCTCTCGGGAGGCCTCTCGGAGTTCTCTTGAGGTCTCTTGGAGGCCTCCTGGGAGCTTGGAGAGCCGCCCGAAAGCTATCCTGGGTTGCTTGGGAGCGTCTTGGGCCGTTCTTTTACGTTCTGGGGGCTTCTTGGGGTCGTGTTGGGCTGCTCTTTGGGGGGGCTGAAAGGGACCTTATTGGGCCTTATTGGGCTGTTCTTTTTGGACTGCTCTTCGGCAGTCTTGGGGCCGTATTGGCCCGTCTTGGAGCCGTCTTGGGGGCCTCTTGGGAAGTTTGGGGGCGGTCTTTGGGGCCTCTTCGGCCCTGTTGGAGCGTTGGAAGCATGAAATTGTGAGGAGGCCAAAAACACTGGAAGAGCAATGAAAATTAACGATTTGAGGTTTTCCGGGCGCCCTCGGGAGGCCTCTCGGAGCTCCCTTGAGGTCTCTTGGAGGCCTCCTGGGAGCTTGGAGAGCCGCCCGAAAGCTATCCTGGGTTGCTTGGGAGCGTCTTGGGCCGTTCTTTTACGTTCTGGGGGCTTCTTGGGGTCGTGTTGGGCTGCTCTTTGGGGGGGCTGAAAGGGACCTTATTGGGCCTATTGGGCTGCTCTTTTTGGACTGCTCTTCGGCAGTCTTGGGGCCGTATTGGCCCGTCTTGGAGCCGTCTTGGGGGCCTCTTGGGAAGTTTGGGGGCGGTCTTTGGGGCCTCTTCGGCCCTGTTGGAGCGTTGGAAGCATGAAATTGTGAGGAGGCCAAAAACACTGGAAGAGCAATGAAAATTAACGATTTGAGGTTTTCCGGGCGCCCTCGGGAGGCCTCTCGGAGCTCTCTTGAGGTCTCTTGGAGGCCTCCTGGGAGCTTGGAGAGCCGCCCGAAAGCTATCCTGGGTTGCTTGGGAGCGTCTTGGGCCGTTCTTTTACGTTCTGGGGGCTTCTTGGGGTCGTGTTGGGCTGCTCTTTGGGGGGGCTGAAAGGGACCTTATTGGGCCTTATTGGGCTGCTCTTTTTGGACTGCTCTTCGGCAGTCTTGGGGCCGTATTGGCCCGTCTTGGAGCCGTCTTGGGGGCCTCTTGGGAAGTTTGGGGGCGGTCTTTGGGGCCTCTTCGGCCCTGTTGGAGCGTTGGAAGCATGAAATTGTGAGGAGGCCAAAAACACTGGAAGAGCAATGAAAATTAACGATTTGAGGTTTTCCGGGCGCCCTCGGGAGGCCTCTCGGAGCTCCCTTGAGGTCTCTTGGAGGCCTCCTGGGAGCTTGGAGAGCCGCCCGAAAGCTATCCTGGGTTGCTTGGGAGCGTCTTGGGCCGTTCTTTTACGTTCTGGGGGCTTCTTAGGGTCGTGTTGGGCTGCTCTTTGGGGGGGCTGAAAGGGACCTTATTGGGCCTAATTGGGCTGCTCTTTTTGGACTGCTCTTCGGCAGTCTTGGGGCCGTATTGGCCCGTCTTGGAGCCGTCTTGGGGGCCTCTTGGGAAGTTTGGGGGCGGTCTTTGGGGCCTCTTCGGCCCTGTTGGAGCGTTGGAAGCATGAAATTGTGAGGAGGCCAAAAACACTGGAAGAGCAATGAAAATTAACGATTTGAGGTTTTCCGGGCGCCCTCGGGAGGCCTCTCGGAGCTCTCTTGAGGTCTCTTGGAGGCCTCCTGGGAGCTTGGAGAGCCGCCCGAAAGCTATCCTGGGTTGCTTGGGAGCGTCCTGGGAGCTCCCAGAGCGGCCACAGAGCCCCAACAATCCAAAACCTCGCCGTCCTTGACAAGGAAGCGCTTTGTATTACATTTGTATTAGTGGGGCCATCGGGCCGTCTCGGCGCTCTCTTGGGGCGTCTTGGGCGCGTCAAGGGCCGTCTTGGGGTTCTCTTCGGCCGTCTTCGGGCCCTCTGGGGGACCTCTTGGGCCGTCTCGGGGTGGTCTTGGGGGCCTCTGGAGACGTCGTGCAGCGCTGAAGCTCGAAAATTCGAGACCTTCGAAAACAGACACAACCGATGTGACATCATTGATGCTTGCCTCTTGCGGCCATCTGGGGCGCGCTCATCGAAACCCCTCGGGCCGTCTTGGGGCATCTTAGGACGGAAAGCTCGAATTATCGCTTCGGGCTCCTGCGTTCGGGCCCCTTTGGGATCGTCTTGGGGCATCTTGCGCGCACCTAGTGCCGCTTGGGGTCCCCGTGGGCCGTCTTTGGGCACTTTGGGGTGCCTCTTGGCCCGTTTCGGGGCGGTCTTGGGGGCTTGGGACGTTGTGGAACGCCAGAAGCTGGATGGGTCGAAACCACGAACACGTTGAGAAACCGATGGCCAATCAGCACTGTTGGTCTCTGGGGGGCCTCTGAGGAGTGCTCGTCGAATCCTTTTGGGCCGTCTGGGGGCATCTTGGGACGGAAGGCTAGAATTGTCCTCTCCTGTTTGGGCCCCATGTGAGGCCATCTTGAGGCCCTCTTAGGCCGTCTTGGGCCACTCTTGGGCCATCTTGGGGCCGTCTTGGCCCGTCTTTTTCCTCTTCGCAGTCGCCCGCGTTCGGAGCGAAACTCGATTGTATTAGTCGCGTCTGCAACGCTCAATCTCCTAGCGCTCAGCTTGAGCACTAGCCTGAAAACTTGCGACGGATAAATCGGCTTCAAACACTCAAGACCCCAAGGTTGAGCTGTACAAGCTACGGAATGATTTCCTGCAGAGTGAGGTGGAGGAGCAGGAGGCAGCATATAAGCAAAACATCGATGAGAAGCAGGAGGAGGAGGAGTAGAATGAAGACCCGGTGGTTGCCACCACTGGGCGCGGCTTGAAACAGTTGTTGCCAAGTCCATAATGGTGAGACATGGTGCCAAAACCACAGGAAATTCCCTGAGGCTCGGCCCTAACTGGACGTGGCGATAATGCCCGCCCGAACAAAAAATGTGGGCGCTGCAGCGCTTCCAAAGAAACCTAGACTCTACACGGAGCAGGAGGATGAAGATTGAGGGTTGCCACCACTGGGCGCGGCATTACAAGAAACTGTTGCCACAGCCTAGGAGGATGAAAATCGGGGATTTGCCACCAATGGGCGAGGCATGAAAAAGTGGTTACCAACCCCATCATGGTAAGACATGGCGCAAGAACCGCAGGACAGTCTCTGAGACTCGGCCCTACTTGGACGTACGCCGAGACTGCACAACAGCACGTGCTTAAACTTTTCCGTCCACATTGCGCTTGACGCTGTGGACGAGGCTGCGCATCACGCAATATATACGGCGCGGCTGACAAGCCCGTGGCCACGTGGCATGCCCTGCGCCGTTTCCATGCTATCCCTCTGGGCTGGCGTGAACCGTGCCTAATGGTGCAGTGACTGGCAAAACCTTTGGATCATCCCGAATCACTAAAAATTCCAAGGATATAAATTCGCGCCGCGCGTCTGGCGCGCGAGGCAGGAGGCGTCCACGTTGATCCATCTGATACGAGGTGCAGGGTTCGCCCTGGACCGAGGGAAGTTCCCCTGGCCGCCGCCCCCAATGGACGCGGCCAGGCGGGCGCTGACGGCACGCGCCACGCGCCACTAGCTGGCAACTCTCCTGGCCAGGCGGCACGATCATACAGAGGAAGACGTCAGTGTGTTTCTCCTTCTGCCTTCCCCCCCCTGGGCTCACCGCCGACTTATGCTCGAGATCAGCCCCGCGAGCTCGGAGCGGCCCCGAGCGCCGCCGAGGGCGACCCCGGCGGCGCGGGGGGCCCGCGCACCTCGCGGCGCAACGCCCTCGAGATGGCGCCCGCCCGGTTCCTGGGGCTGCCGATCGCGCCGCCGCCCTCGGCGCACCCCGCCGCCGGTGCCGCGGGCGTCGCGGGCGCCGCTGGCCCGAAGCGGTGCCCTTCGCGGCTGCCGGCCAGACCGCTCCAACCTTCGTCGAGGCACGGGCGACGCGCCCTCACGCCCAGCTCCCAAGGCGAACGTGCGGGCCACCTGGCGGCGACGGCGGCCTTCTGCTCCCAGTACGCCTCGGACCTGAGGCGCCTGGGGGGGCTGGGGCGCGGGATGGCAAGGGACGTCACCTCGAGGAGCGCAAGTTCGCCGCCGTTCTTCGGCAGCGAGGTGGCGCCCAGCTCTCCTCGTGCGCGTTGGCGTCCTGGCCGTCGCCGACGGAGAAGGCAAGCAGCTCTTCCGTTGGGCATCGCGTGAGGGCCAAGCTGATCCCGTCCGGCTCAGGGCGCGCCACCTTCCCCTTCCCCTGCTCGGCGAGAGCCGCCTCACCATCCTGAAGCATGGCGCGGGATCTGGCGATGGGGGGCTGTCCAGCCCGGAACCAGACACGATACCAACTTGGAGGCCTCCACTGGGAAAAACAAATGGCTTGAACCAAAATGGCTACGGAGGCCCTCTTGGCCTGTCTTGGGGCCCTCTTGGGGGTCTCTTGGGCCGTCTTGGGGCAGTCTTGGGGCCTCTTGGGACGTCGTGGAGCGTCGGGAGCTCGAAAGTCGAGAAAACCGAAACCACGGGAAAGCCATTGGTAATCAATGGTTTTTGCCTCTGGGGGCCCTCTGGGGAACGCGCATCGAATTCTCTTGGGCCGTCTTGAAGCTAACTGGGGCCGTCCAGAAGCCACGCGGGACATCTTTGACGCCACTTAAGGGCGTCTGGGCAGCTCGCGGGTCGCTGCTGGGGAGGGGGGGGGAGCCGGGAACTCCCATGGCGCACAGAGGCAGCTGGGAAAAGGCCCTGGACCAAATACCCAAATACAAATATACATAGATATAGACATATGCATGAACACGTGTATGTATATACACATAGATATACGTGTATGTATATATGTATACATGCATGCATGCATGCATGCATGCATGCATGTGTGGATGCATGTATGTTTGCATGTGTGTTTGTGTGTGCGTATGTATGTATGTATGTATACATGCATGTATGTCTCTATTTATGTATGTATGTATGTATGTATGTATGTATGGATTGATGGATGGATGGATGGATGGATGGATGGATGGATGGATGGATGGATGGATGGATGTATACACGCATACATGCACGTGTGTATGTATGCATGTACCTACGAACGTGCGTACGTGCGTACGTATGTGTGTACGTACGTAGGTATGTATGTATGTATGTAGGTATGCATGCATGCATGCATGTATGTGTATGTATGTATGTATGGATGCATGTATGGATGGATGTGTGTATGTATGTATGTATGTATGTGTGTATGTATGTGTGTGTATGTATGTATGTATGTATGTATGTATGTATGTATGCATGAATGTATGTATGTATGTGTGTATGTATGTATGTCTGTATGCATGTATGTATGTATGTGTGTATGTATGTGTGTATGTGTGTATGTGTGTATATATGTGTATGTACGGATGTTGGTATATGTGTGTACATAAAAATATGCATGTATGGATGTGTGGATGCATGTATACATGTAAGCATGTCTGTGTGTGTGCATGTGTGTACGTGCGCATGCATGTATGAATGCAGGTATGTGTGTATGCAGGTATGTGTGTTTGCATGGATGCATGTATGCAGATGTGTATGCATGCATGTGTGAATGCATGTATGTAAGTATGTATGCATGTATGTATGTATGTGTGTATGTATGTGTGTTTGCAATAATGCATGCATGAATCTACGTGTATACCTTTGCTATATATATATATATATACTAGAATCTTCGCGCGCGCTTCGCGCGCGCTCAAGTTCTAGCTAGGCCTGATGTGCTCAATCATGGAATATCAGTTTTGTCGTTTCTTGCACCCAGGGACTCTATTGGAGGCCCTGCGCAAGCATCGGAACTGTATGGAAAACGAACTGCGGAAACGCGGGAATCATTTCTTTCCGTTAGGTATTCATCGACTTGGGGCCCTCAAAGGCTTCCTGGTTTCTTTTCTGGGAGCTGAGGGGGGCCTCAATTGTGGTCTGCTGTGCAAGAGTAGACAGGGGGCGACTTCGAAAACAAATGATGTGTGGGATGTCCATGTTGTTTCAAGTTGCCGTGCCTTGGCTGTGGGTTTTAAGAGTTCTGGATACAGGCCATGGTCGGTTGGGATGCCTCTCGGGATCTTCGTGCAAAAATTAGCAGGTGGTGAGTTTGCATTAAAAGGAAGTTAGATTGTTCAACTCATGGGATCATGGGATATCGATTTCTACGGTGGTTTCAGGGGCAGCCAGAAGGACGCGAAGACGATCCAAGAGACTGCCAAGACAGCGTCAGATAATTCAAGAATATTCCCGAAACATCTCTGCATGTGACTCCGAAGTCTTGATGCGGCTCGAGGAAGAGGATAGGGAGTAGGAGTCCCAACTTGAGAAAACAAAAAAAACTAGAATTCCTTTGTTTTCAAGTTCCTCGGTCTTGGAGCGTTGGAAGCGGGAAAACTTGAGAAGGCGACGAAATCTACAAAAACCAATGAAAATCACCGATGTGATCCTCGTCGGGCTCTCTCGCGACGGCTCCCGAAGCTTTCTTGGGCTGTTTTGGGGGCCTCGTCGGGGCTTTTTGGGGGGCCTCTCGAGGGTCTGGGGTGTGTTGGAGGCTTCTGGGGGTTCCCGGAGTCCTCTCGGAGGTCTCTGGAGGCCTCCTGCTCCCGCTCTTGGGCTCATCTTGGGCCTGTCCTGGGTTGGTCTGGAGCTGTCCTGGGCGCCTCTTCGGCAATATTGGGGCCTTCTTGCCGTCTTGGGAGCCTCTTGGGCGATCCTGGGACGGTCTTTGGGGCCTCTTCGGCCGTGTTGGAGCTTTGGAAGCATGAAATCGTGAGAAGGAGAGAAACCATGAACAAAATGAATGAAAATTAACAATTTGAGGTTATCCGAGCGCTCTCGGGAGGCCTCTCGGAGCTCTCTTGAGGTCTCTTGGAGGCCTCCTGGGAGCCTGGAGAGCCGCCCGAAAGTTCTTTTACATTCTGGGGGCTTCTTGGGGTCGTCTTGGGCTGCTCGTTTTGGGGGCTCCCCGAGAGGTCGTGAAGCGCAGTACCAGGAGCGTTCCGCAGATGTTCTGGGAACGTGTGGGACCCCTGGGAGGAAAGTGGGTTTATTTGTTGAACTTGGAAACAGATGGAATCTCTGAAATCCCCTTTTTTTAATTTCCTCGGTCTTGGAGCGTTGGAAGCGGGAAAACGTGAGAAGGCGACAAAGTCTACAAAAATCAATGGAAATCACCGATTTTACCCTGGTCGGGCTCTCTCGCGACGACTATCGAAGCTCTCTTGGGCTGTTTTGGGGGCGTCGTCGGTTTTGGGGGGGGGGCCTCTCAAGGGTCTGGGGTGTGTTGGAGGCTTCTGGGGAGGTCCCGGAGTCCTCTCGGAGGTCTCTGGAGGCCTCCTGCTCCCGCTCGTGGGCTCATCTTGGGCCTGTTCTGGGGTGCTCTGGCGCTGTCCTGGGCGCCTCTTCGGCAGTCTTGGGGACTTATGGGCCCGTCTTGGAGCCGTCTTGGGGGCCTCTTGGGAGGTCTTGGGGCGGTCTGTGGGGCCTCTTCGGCCGTGTTGGAGCGTTGGAAGCATGAAATTGTGAGGAGGCCCAAAACACTGGAAGATCAATGAAAATGAACAATTTGAGGTTCTCCGAGCGCTCTCGGGAGGCCTCTCGGAGCTCTCTTGAGGTCTCTTGGAGGCCTCCTGGGAGCCTGGAGAGCCGCCATCCTGGGTTGCTTGGGAGCGTCTTGGGCCGTTCTTTTACGTTCTGGGGGCTTCTTGAGGTCGTCTTGGGCTGCGCTTCGGCGTTTTGGGGGCTCCCCGGGAGGTCGGGAAGCGCGGTACCAGGAGCGTAACCCAAACGTGATCGGGGTGGAGGACGCCCCAGGAGGGGGCCCGGCCTATTTGCTGATATATTATATATATATATATAATATATATATTATATATATATAAGTTACACATACGTACATACATACATACATACATACATACATACATACATACATACATACATACACACACACATACATACATACATACATACATACATACATACATACATACATACATACATACATACATACATACACATACAAACATACATACATACATACATACATACATACATACATACATACATACATACATACATACATACATACACACATACATACATACAAACATACATACATACATACATACATAGATACATACATACATAATCACTTACTTACTTACTTACTTAATTACGTACTTACTGAATTACTGACTTACTTACTTACATACATACATACATATTCATATGTGCACACATGGCGGGTTCCCGTTTGTTTTGTTACCAGCCTCTTGTTCCCTGGTGTCCCAGTCACAAGAGGGCGACCCAAACAAAACTGCCCTAACTGCCTCTTTTGAAACGGAAAGCCCTTACAATGAGTTCATGCCATGAGCTCGTAGTAATTGTGATGCTCATTTGCGAAATGTCCTAGTAAGGGTTTGGGTCCTGGGTTCTCTGTGTGTTGTCGGGCCTTTGGCCCTGGACTTGATGGGGTGACGAGCAAGGGGAGGAGGTGGAGGGAGGGGAGAAGCGTCACGATCGAGACATTCTCACAAACTGGGGATGTTGCTTACGACGTTGGTTGTCAAAATTGAAGCTTTCACCGGATCCATCCCCAGGCAAATTAGGACGCCCTCACAGGATGGGAATGCTTTCGTTTCTTTTGGGCGCTGCTGTATATGATCGCGCGAAATCTACCACGGCAGCTGGGGCGACTGAGGGAGGTCGAAACTTCTTCAATGAAACGCTTGACGCATGCGCCGAAGTGCTTCGCATAGACCTGCATCACCGAAGTATATGCTCGGCAGGAGAGCACCGACGAGAAAAACAATATATATATATATATATACAGTAGACGGAGGCCAGCCGCAGACCAGCGGTATCCACTTGTGTTGCGGGGAGTGAAAAACTTTTGAGCCAAAATGGCTACGGATGGTAAGGAGGAGGAGGACGACGACGTGGAGAAGTGTTCCCCCCCGACCTCTCTTGCTGCCCGCCCCTCCGTCGCTCCATCCATCCAGCTCCCCTGGGCCCCTGGCCTCGAGCACCGAATTGCACACGCTGGAGCCAGTGCAGTTGAACGCCGGTATGGCGAAGCCCTTGGCCTTCGGGCGATCCACTTCCTATCCCCTCCTCCTCTTCCTCCTCCTCCTCCTCCCTTCTCCTCCTCCTCCTCCTCCTCCTCCTCCTCCTC